TGGGCACGTGGTTTCGCTTCTCTGCGCCTCAGCTTCCTCTATAAAACAAACAGGGCCTCACCCACCCACCTCCGAATGCCCCAGGGAGGATTAAAGAGAGTGGTGTACCTGGCCAGCACAGGGCTCAATTAAGGGAGCTGCAATTATTCTTTTTATTGCTATTCCAGAGCCTGCCACTGCCTGCCACACAGAGGGGCCGGGGCCAGGAGGGGCGTTCTCCTCCATGCCAGCTCAGTGCCAGGACCCCTGGCTGCTCACCTAGCCCCAGGGCTCCTGGAAACTCAGATCCCAGGTCCTGGGGGGCGAGGGGCCTCAGCGTCAACCCCCACACTTGCTGCTCCACCCAAGCCCATTTCAGGGGAGACCCCACCTTCTATGTCACCCCCAGCTGGAGACTGGGCCTGATCCTGGACACCTCCGGCTCTCTCAGCCCTTCGCAGAAAGCCAGGCAGCCGTCATGTTCGGTCAAGTCGGCCTCCTGCACATCTCTCAGATCTACTCCTTTCCATCCCTCCCGCCCCACCCTGCCCTGGCTTTCATCCTCACCCGCCCAGGTTCCTGCCCCTCCACAGGGGTCTTTCTAGGCACGAACCCGACTCTGTTCTTTCCCAGAACCAGCCCCGGCTCCCCTGGGGTCCTCAGCAGAAAGTGCAGGCTCCTCCCCGCAGCCTCACCAAACTAAGTCCTCTTGCCTCTGACAGGCCAGCCCCGTTCCCTATCTCGGTGCCAGGCCTTTGGGCCTCTGCCATCTGTTCGTTCTGCCTGGATTTCCCTCTTCCTCCTCTCCAGGCAGCCACTTGGAAACATTCCTGAGTCAGTTTCTGTCTCTCCAGCCCGGCTGGCAGCACCACACCTTTCCCCTGTCCGCCACCAGTCTCCTTCCTGGTCCCTAGTCTGACCCTTGAGTCCAATCGCCACAAGGCAGCTGGGGGTCTTTTTCAAATACTAACCAGACGATGGTTGCTCCTCTCTTAAAACCTCCCATGGCTCCTTGCCACCCCAGGAGGGCTTCCAGTGTCCCTGACTGGCCTTCAGGGCCCTACCTCCACATTTCCCACCGATGCCACGTGCTCCTGGTTGCCTCAGCCTGATCCAACGTTCCTCCTACTCTCTGAACCTGCCTGTGCTCCCATTGAAAGCCAATTCTCTCCAGGGCTCCAGATTCGTTCCACTCCTCACCCCTTGTCCAGGGCTTTGCCATCGCAAGTCTCCCCTCTCTCCCCTAGGATCAATGCTCCCTCACAGGCACCAGGCTCTAGTCTCATCCATCCTTAAAAAAAAAAAGCAGGTCCCCCCCCATTTCTCCACTCCCCTTCAGAGCCCAAATCTCCGAAACACCGTCAGCGTTGGCTGTCTCCACTTCCACACCTCCCATTCATTCTTCAGTGCCACCAACCCACCACTCCCCAGAGACTGCTCTTGTCAAACTCCCACCAACACTCGTGGAGCCAAATCCAACGGTCAATGCCCCGTGACCACCTTGGCAGCATCGGACCCAGGGTACAGTCCCTCCTAGAAGCATTCTCTTCTCTCACTTTTCCTGATTTCCTTTCTACTCGCTGACCACCCCCACTCTGCCTCTTCCTCTTCTGTTCTAAACATTAGAATTCCTCAAGGTTTTGTCCTGGGCCCCTTCTCTTCCGAGATGACCTCATCCATTCCCGGCCTGTTCTATTGCATCTGTAGGCTGCTCATGCCCAAATCCCTCTCCCGGGAGCTCCAGGCTGGCCTATCCATCTAACTCACTGTCTCCTCTTGGAGAGCTGAGTAAAATCCAAACTAGTCCTTGCAATGATTTATGGAATCCTACATAATCTGGCCCCTGTCCCAAACTTGTTCGTTTCCGTCTCCCCACTAACGTGCTGAAGTCCCGAGTCCACTTCCTCCGTCGGCGTCTGGCACCTGAGGCTCCACCCACCTGGCGCACCGCCCCCCCCCCCCCCCCCCCCCCCAGTTCTCCTTCTCTACTTAAATGCCACCTCCTCAGTAAGGCCTTCCCTGACCACTACCTAGAGTAGCCTCCAACCCTTATTATCTACCTCACACTCTGTTGGGTTTTTTCCCCCCAAATCACTCATCACAACTTCTAGGTATTTTATTAATTTGTGTAGTTACTCATTGCTTGAGTCTCCTGCTGCGTTAGGAGCTGAACAAGGGCAGGGCTGCGTCCGTCTGATTGGTTGTTACGTCTTCTGAGGCCAGCACAGTCCTCAGCAGGCGCTCAACAGGCCGAGTGAATAAATGAATGAGGGCCCCCACATCTTTCTCCTTCTCAAGATCCAAAGTCACACTATTCCTGGGATTCCCTCACCTCTACTCCCAGGCAGGGCCTTCCACACATCCCTCGTGCAACCTCGCACCTCCTACTTCCTCACCCACACGATTCCCTACTCTATTGGCACTGTCCACTCTAACCCCCACCGGGTGCCACCTACCCCGGGTCTCCCAACTGGGCAGAGCCATCACTCCCCCGCCCTATGTCAAAATTTGGTAGCGTCCTCTTCAGGTCTCACCAAAAAGCTAGCACCTCTCGGGGTCTCGCATTTGGTAGACCCTTCATTCCCCTCCCCCTCCCGCCCCCTCCTCATAATCCCTAGTTAGTAGCATCCGCTCCATCCGCCAGCTTCAGGTACCACCTTTCCTTTCAGAAGCCCCCTCTGTCTCGCTTGGATAGCACCATCCTAGTCCTCCCCACGCCTGGACACTTGGTAGTGCCGGGCCCGCGCCCAGATTGCCGCTCCGCGTTGCCATGGTTCCGCGCGGACCGGGCACCCCCAGACCCCGGCAGCTGTCCACCCACCCTGACCCCCTCCGGGGCGGGCGCACCTTTGAAGTAGTCGTTGGCCTGCGTCTTGAGCTCCTCTGCCCGCTTCAGAGTGCCATCAGCCGGAGGTTCGTCTTGGGGGGGCTCAGCACACTCAGCCCGCTCGCCCTCCGCCATCGCCATGCCGCAAAGCGACCCCCACCCTGGCAACGGCCGCCAGCGGCACCCGGCCGAATCGTCGCGAAGGAGAGCCGAGTTCCAGCAGCCGCTGCTGCACAAGTGTCGTAAAGCGCGGGCCGCGAAAGCTGCCTTCGGGCGCTTGCGCAGGGCTCTTTTGCCATAGCCTGCGCGGAGGGCAAGGTGACCACGGAGGCCGCAGCCTCACCCTTCCTATCTAGAACGGGCCAATGGGAAGGTGAAAACGGGCGCACTGGGGAAAAAAGGCCCCGCAGGGTCCCCGCTGTCAAAGTTGTCACGTTGCGAGATCGAAGATCCTTGGGGTTTAAAGTGGGATTTACCCTCCGTCTTCCGGGATTGGTGGGTACATGTGGCTGCTCAGCAGGGCACAATAAGCCCAGCGCGGGACCGGAGTCTAGCCCAGCTGTCAATTAACCTGTAAGACCTTGAACACATCTTCCTCTCCTCTCTAGGGTCTGTTATCCCTCTGTGAAAAATGAGCGATTTCTCAAACCAGCAGAATACATTTCCGACCCCGAGGATCAGTGTTTCTAAGTTATTCATTGAAAGCCGCCTGCGGCTCAGACGCTCGCTGCACCATCTCCTTTCTTCCTCCCCGCCCCGCACCCCGCTCCACTCCGCAGCCCTCTATAGCTCCTCGTGCCTTTCGGAGAAGAATTCGAGTTCTTTCGGAGGACCTAAGAGGCCCTGAATAGTGTAGCCTCATGCAAAATGTCCCGCTGCCACTCCTACCCCAATCCCCACACATACAGGCTTCCAGACCATCCTTTCCAAGTCTTTAACCGCGATTCATGCCGAAGTGTCGCGCTAAATCCTTTAGGGCTCTTCTTGTGGCAGTCTGACACCCACTCCCCGCAACCAAAGCCAACCATCATCACCCTGGAAGATACTAGTATCTCCATTTTACAAGTGAGGACATAGATTTGCAGAGGTCAATGCATTTGCTCAAGGTCATACAACAAGAATGTGGCAGAGTCAAAACTTGGACCTTTTCTACCTAACTCCTGGGTTCTTAGTTCCTACTCTGCTGTCCAGAGCCCACCTTTTGGGACAGATTTTTGAGGTTATTTTGGTGTGTATGGGGGATTTGAATTCTGGATTTATGGCGTTAATCGTCATGCCTAATCGTCGTGTAGGATTAGAGAGTTTGATAAGACCACCTGAGGAGAGTGTTTGGCAGAGGGCCTGACAGAGGAAGTGCTTTCTACAGTCACTCCATTATAAATACTCAGAGTGGGACAGAGGACCTACACCTGTGATGGGGACAGGGGGACTCTAAGGAGGCTGAGGATCTCACCCAGCTGGGACAAGCAGGGAAGACTTTGTGGAGGAGGGGGTCTCGGAACCTACGTGTAACGTACGGGTAGGAGATAAACAATTGAGGAGAGAGTGGAAAGGAAGGCATTTAAGGCAGAGGGAGCAGCAAATTGCCAAGTCGTGAAAATGGTTTTTTGTTCTTTGAAAAGATCCCTACGTGGGTCACAGGAGAGGTGTTATCAGGGGGATGCACAGACACGTGAGAGAAGAGGCACAGCCCTCTGCACATAAAATTTGTACACGCACAACATCTCACACACACCGAAGTACAGAGAATCACGTCACATAGCAGCGCACAGAATTATGGTATCAAACGGTTCTATGCATGTACATAGAATCTCAACAGCACATACGCACAAGAACCACAAGATAAAAAACAAACCACAATATCTCCCATAATCAGGAGCAGAAACCCAAAGTAACCAGACACATTAGGCAGAAGCACTTCGCTCAGGTACTAACATATACACATGGAGAAAGAATTACAACCTCTCCACAAGTTCATAAAATTATGTCCAAGACACGTATATACACAGAATGACAATATCACCAGGCATGCATGCTACATAGACCCACACAGGAACACAGTCCCATGCATACGCATAGAATCACAAAGTGACACAGACACCTGTCACCCAGTGCACCCACCCATCCTGAAGCGACCCCACAGATGAGGTGACACAGAGTTCTGGTGCCTATCAAGGCGAGGTCTTTATGGTGGTATAGAAACTGGTGGATTTCAGAGCCGGCGTGGCTGGTCCAGTCCTTTCCCGTCCCGCAGCTTAGCACAGTTCTCTTTATTGAGGGCCCAGTTCATCCCCTGAGGGAAGGAGGGATGAGATCCTTTTCCCCCCGTAGCACCCATCTGGACAGGCAATTTCCTCAAATAAACAGCGAAAAGTGCCTTTTGGAAAAGGGAGCGAGTTAGACTGAGAGAGGAAGACGTTTTCCTGTGGGAGACCAAGCATAGCACCATTGTAGAAAGGGGGCTGGGGACATGTGGGTGGTGGCAGAGAACGGAGAAGTCTCAGCCCCTCTCCCTGCCTCCTGATAGGTGGATAGGGCTATGCGCGTGCCTGTGCGGCTGGGGAAGTCTCCTGCACTGTGAACCTCCCAAAGGGGGTGAGGGAGTCCCAGGTTCCCCAGGTACCTGGGGTCAAGGTAAGTGCATATCTGGAGGGCTGAGGTGGGGAGTGGAGGGGATTCTAAGACAAGAAATTTTAGGGATATGAGATTGGCACTGGAGAGGTTTGAGTGTGAAGTCCATGGGCAGCGAAACCTGGAGGATAGGGATCTGGAATGGGAAGACTTAAGAAAGGGAGTAGGCATTGAGACAAGTTGGGCAGAGTGGGAAGGCCAGAATAGATTTCGGGGGCTGCATTCCAGAAGCAGGGAGTCAGGGGTTGATAAGATTCAGAACCAGAGGAATCCGTAGGGTGAGGTTCAGATTCTAGAACCAGAAACATTTGGAGGCTGAGTTCCAGAACCAGAAGGATTTGGATCTGAAATCAGAGGCAGCTGGCAGCTGTGAAAGCTTAGAACCAGAGGGAGGTATAGAGTAAGAGCTAGAATCAGAAAAAGCCTGAAGACTGAGTTCTAGAGGGATTTTGGAGCCGTAAGAATCAAGAGTTGGGAGTTGTAAGGTCTAGAACCAGGTAAATTCCTAATGCAAGGTCTATGATCAGAAGATCTTTGAAGGCTGACTTCTAAACCCGTTGCCATAAGATAGGCAATGAGGCAGAATTAGAGACTTTCTAGGGCTAAGGGAATTTATAGCATGAGGTCTGCAATCAGATACCTTTAAGGCCAAGTTCTAGAACCAGAGAAAAGAGATAATCATATCTAGAGTCAGAGAACCCTGGAAGTTGCAAAGTCTAGAAGCTGTGTGATCTACAGCCAGTGAATAGTAGATAGAGGTCATGAGCTCTAGAATAAAGAACTGGAACATGATGTCCTGTTCTGGAGGGACTGGTTATAAGATCAAAACATAAAACTCATTTTTACTTCTTTTTGATGGGAAAAGCAAATCTTGAGTGCAGAAAGTTAGAAGGGATGAGCTGAGAATCATTAAGATTTAGAAACTAAGAAGTTGGATTTGGAACCAACTGTGTTACAGATTGTGTTACAGACTAGAGCCAATAGGAAGCTTGGGGTTGTGAGGTCCAGAATCAGATAAGATGATCTGTTGTAAGACCTGGAACCAGCAGGAATCGGAGAGTGTGGCATCTAGAACAAAGGAGTTTATAGGAGAGGTCTAGAACCAGGGAAAGTCAGGGAGTGAGTTCTAGAACTGGAGAATTCCGATGGTCAGAGGCTCTAGAGCCAGAGAGAGTTGGAGGTTGTGAGGCCTGGAACCAGACAACTTTGGAGACCATGAAGTGTGAAAATGCAGTTGGAGGCTGTGAGGTCCAGAATGAGAAGGAGCCAAGGATTGTGAGATCTAGAATCGGAGGGGTTTGGAGGCCGTCAGGCCTCCACTAGAGCATTCGGGAGGTGTGTGCAGCCTAGAAACAAAAAGGCAGGGGGCCGTGCAGTCCAGAACCAGGAAGGTCTGAGCGTGTGCAGTCTAGAACCAGAGACAGCCTGAAGTTGTATGGTCTAGAACTGCAGAAGACTGGAGGTTTGTATCGTCCAGAAGCAGGGGAAGTTGAAGGCCATACCTGAAATAGGAACTCCACAAACAAATTCCGTACCCAGGCAAGGCTGGGTGCAGCGGAAACCCAGAATGGAGGGGAAAGGCAGGTAGGCAGAGCTGGGTGGCGGTTTGGGAGGCCAAGGGATCAATCAGAAGTCACTGGGTAGCGAGGAGGTCTGGGCCAGAGGCTCCCCTCCCCATTGACACCTGAGAGTGAGGGTGAAGGTTGAAGTCCCACATTCTTACGGACTCTGGGCAATTCATAGCTATCGAAAACATATCACAGAAGCAAAATTAAAAACGATACTAAAAGACAGATGGGAAGAAACATGATTGCGGTTATCAATAGGCCCCAGAGCCTAGAAACACAGGTCTGAACCCCAACCTCCCCCACCCCTAATTACCCACGTTAAAGCCAAGAGAGTTGGAGAAAGGCATGAGGGAAGCAGTATCAAGAACCCCAAGGGAAGTCCTGAGAGAAGGAGGAGGAGGGGGCCAGCGACCCCCTCCAGAGGTCACTGAGCTGAGACCACCCCCAAAAACCCGCAGATGGGGAAGGGGCAGAGGGGTGAGCACTGAGTAGGCCCGAGGTGGACAGGGGCTGCTGAGAGGAGAGGGGGATCTCTTGTCCCAGCTCCCCCATCCTGTGCATGGGCTGCCAGCTTAGACTGCGGTTGAGGTCCTTTCTGGGAAGGAGACGAGAGATGGGAAGAGGGGCTGGCTCAGTCCACCTGGGCCAAGCTCATTGCTGGCTGGAATTGCCTCTTGGGTTGGGTGGTGCCTTCATTCGGGCAGAGACGGAGCAGTGAAGGGCCCAGGCCTGTGGGGGAAGATAGAAGGTAAACCAGTGAGGAATTATCACCCCAACCCATCTGCCCTTCTTGACAATCAAAAGTGGGTGATGAGGCAGATCCACACGGATTCAAACCCCAGTGAAATCTTGGACAAGATCTGCTCTCTGAACCTCAGGCATTCAGGATGTTTCAAACAGTAAGTAAGAAGCCTGGAGCCAGGCCCTGCCCGGGTTTGAATCTAGACTCTGCTGTTTACTTGCTGTGTGACCTGAGGCAGGTGACTCTACCTCTCTGAGCCTCAGTTACCACATGTATAAAATGGGCAAATAATAGTGCCTCTCTCCCACGAGGAGTAAATGAGTGAATCCACGTCAAGTACTTTGAACAATAACTAGTGCTATTGCTACCTGGAAAACAGAGATGCTTATATCTACCTCATTTATTGAGCACCTACTGTGTGCCAGGCACTGGGGACACAGCAGTCAGTGAATGGGGAGAATGGAACGCCATGACCTCGAGGGGCTGGCATCCAGTTAGGGGCGTCAATGAGGTCATGCACATGCATTTAGCCCAAGGCTTGGCAAAGTGAGTGTTAGATAAACATTAGCTCTTCATTTGCAAACATATATTGAGGATCTCCTCTGTGCCCAGCCACTGGCCGGCACCCCCCACGGCAGAGTGCAGCAGTGACCAAGACAGGCCTGCCCCTGCCCTCACAAGGCTCACACCTCCAGGGAGACGACAGCCAGTAATCAAATAACTATGCAAACATCTCTGTAAATATGGTGTGTGATGAGTGTTAGGAGCCCTGAGCTTAGGAAGTTAGGGAAGGCTTCATGGAAGGAGCCATATTTGCACGGAGATCTAAAGGATGCAGTCCTTAGACAGAGAATGTATGGAAAAGCATTTCAGGTGCGTGGATCAGCATATGCAAAGGGCCTGAGACAGCCTCCTCAAGCAAGATGATTTCAAAGTCATTGCAATGCCCTCCAGAGGCCCTATGCAATATGCCCTACCCCACTCTCCCCTCCTCTGTCTGCTCTCGCCACACTTGACCTTGTTTTTCCCCAAATAAGACAGACACCCTCTCCTCACCCCAGGACCTTTGTATGTGCTGTTCCCTCTACCTGAAATGCCCTTCCGCCCAAAATTGCCACGGTCCATTCCCTCACTCCTTCTGGTCTTTGCTCAGATGCCACCTTCCCAGTGAGACCGCCATGCCTGCTCGTACGCACTGCTGAAACTGCGCCAGCCCAGAATCCCATTTCCCTTTAGGCAGTATTTTCTCCGAGAGCATCTTTCATCTCTCACACCCTTTACTGTCTTGGTCTGTTCGTCCTCGACTGTCTCCCCCACTAGAATGTCAGCCCTGCAAGGGCAGGGCTTTCTGTGTGTTTTGGTCACAGTTTTGTCTCCAGTTCCTAGGACGGTGTCTGGCATTTCCTGTGTGTTCTATATGGATTTGTTACATGGATAACGGACAGAAAGAATCAAAAGGCAGTGACTGTGGCTGAAACAGAGGATGCAAAGCAGCATGTGGTCTGAGATGACCCGGCAATCAGGCCCCAGAGGCTTGCATCCCAGCTGAGGAGCTTGATCTCACTCTGAAGGGCACAGGGAGCCACGAAATGATTTGGAGCAGAGGCAGGCCAGGGTCAGGTGTGTGCTTCGAAAAGGCCCCTCCGGCTGCTGCCTGGAGGTTCCGAGCGGAGAGCTACAGCTATTGACAGTCGCGCTGGAAGATGATGGTAATAGTAACACAGATGAGAGAACGGTTTGCCTTGCGCTCTGCGGAGGGGCTGTGCAAGCAGCGTGGCACACACGCAGGTCTTTTCCCTTTCCTTATTTTTCCCTTTCTTTCTTTTTCTCTCCCCTTCTTTCTTTTTAAAAAGATTTTATTTATTTATTTTTAGGGAGAGGGGAAAGTGGGGAGAAAGAGAGGGAGAGACATACGATGTCTGAGAGACACATCAATCTTGTGTGAGTGATACATGGATTGGTTGCCTCTCCCGCGCCCCCTACTGGGGATCAGGCCCACAACCCAGGCCTGTGCCCTGACTGGGAATTGAACCTGCAGCCCTTTGGTTTGCATGCTGGTACTCAATCCACAGAGCCACACTAGCCAGGGTCCACCCTTCCTTCCTTTCTTCCTTTCTCCCTCCCTCACTTCCATCCTTCCACATTTAGCGGTAAAGTGTCTTTTAAAAAAATTATTTATGTATCTATTTTTAGAGAGAGGTAAGGGAAGGAGAAAGAGAAGAAAAGAAACATCGATCAGTTACCACTCTCACACGCCCCCAACTGGGCACCAAACCCACAACCCAGGCATGTGCCCTGACTGGGAATCGAACATCGTGACCCTTTTCTTTGTGAGATGACTCCCAACCATCTGAGCCACACTGGTCAGGGCAGGGCAGGCACTTCCTGATCATTTATTGTAAAGCAGGCCTTGTGCTAAGCTCTTCCTGTGCAACATCTTTGCAGGTCCTCAAACATCTCCTTAAGGTAAGAACAATCACAATAAACCCTAACTGATGGAGGGGGGGTGGGAATGGAGGTGGGACTCAACCTCAAAGCTTAATCAGACACACGTTTCAGGAGATCTAGGCCTTGGGCTGGGCCCAGGTTGCGGGCCTCCCTCAGGGCCTCTCTTTCCCTGCACAGGGCCCCTGAAAGGAGAGAGGGGCTGCACCTTTCCACCAAGGTCACATCCGGGCACTGGCAGCGCCCCACCACCTTCAAGATTGCTCCACCTGTCAGTCAGCCATCAGGCACCTCCCAGGGGCGGGGCCAGGGCCTCTGCTTACCCAGGTTGCTACTCACTCAGGGGCTCATTCAGTTGCAGGAGGTGGCTGCGGGGATCCTGCTGGCTCACGGGGGCTGGTCCTCCTGTCAGAAGGAGACTCTGCAGGGCAGAGACAAAGCCATCACCACCACCACCATCATCATCAGGAACCATATCCAAGGAGGCAGGATTGCGCAGTGGTTGAGGGCGCTGTGGGGGTTCAGTGGCTGCTGCGGGATTTTGGGTCAGTCACCGTCCCAGACATCCTCCGTACGTCCCTCCCGAGCCTCATCTCCCCTTCTGCTGTGCCCCAGCAGGCTGCGTGTGCGGACCCCGTCCACGAACACCCTCGCTCTTGAGTGTCCCTATTGGGTTCATGTAACGGCAGATGCCAGCAGGTGGGAGGGGGAGGAGGAGGGGTGTTTGATCTTCCAGCTGCTGGGTCCTCACGGGATGGCCATGTCCCTTCTCAGAAGATTTCAGATCTTACAAGGCAGACCCTCCTTTCTGCAAGATCTGGTGACCCTCCCCTGTCCTGCGCCTTCAGGTTAGGGGTGGTGCCAGCTCCCCTCATTGTGGGCTCCTGGCTGCTGCACTAGCACGAGTTGATTCTGCCCATACCTTTGCCAACAGTCCTGTTATTAAATTCTCCTCAACACCCCATTTCAGCCCTGGCTGCTGTGGCTCAGTGGATTGAGCACTGGCCTGCGAACCAAAGGGTCACCGGTTTGATTCCCAGTCCGGGCACATGCCTGCGTTGCTGGCCAGGTCCCCCATAGGGGGCGCTCGAGAGGGAACCACACAATGATGTTTCTTTTCCTCTCTCCCTTCCCCTCTGTCTAAAAACAAGTAAATAAAATCTTTAAAAAAACACCCCATTTCAGTGTGCTGTCTTCTGCCTAGACTCTAACGGATGCGGTTGCCTAAACTCTCTTGTGTTAATGTGGATGACAATAACAATAATAATAATTATTATCATTCAAGAATGGTCATGGAGGTTGAATAATTTAATCATGTGAGGAATTAGTGCAGTCAGCATTTGGTACGTGGTAGACACTCATAAATACAAGCTATTGATAATATCGGTCACACCCCTCATGTTCAAACAGCCCTGTTGGGTAAGGAGCCAGGGAGCCCTTTCCTGGGAAATAAAGAACCATGGAAAGTCCCAGGGGGAGGGCTTGTGGAAGTCACTCAGTCTAGGCTGGCTTTTAGGAAGAGTGTCCTGGCTGCTGTTGTGCAGAACCGGCAGCCAAGGCGAGACTGGGGGCGGGGAGGCTGCGGGGGAACGGACGCTGCTTTGCTTTGTTTTCATACCCCCCACATATCTACAGTCTGCTGAGGATCGGGGAAGGGCCTCATTTCCAGTGCTTCTCATGGCAGCCCTGTGAGATGTGGGAACCGAGGGTCAGATGTTTTCAGATGAGGAAACCGAGGGGTGACATCACCTGCCTAAGGTCTCAGTTACTGGGTGGCTGACCTGGGACATGAACCCAAGTCAAACCGATTCCAGTGTCTGTTCTCTTAACACCACACCAATCACTCAAGGCCAAGACCTGTTCTTGGTTTGGAACGGGGCCCATGGGAGCAGGGAAGATACCTACGGATACCAGGCCTTGGCATTTCCTCTCTTCCCTTGCTAAGTTTTCTTCTTTCTTTTTTTTTTTTAAGATTTTATTTATCTTTAGAGGGGAAGGGAAGGAGAGGGGGAGAGAAATATCAATGTACAGTTGCCTCTAGTGCGTCCCTTGCTGGGAACTGGCCTGCAACCCAGGCATGTGCCCTGACTGGGAATTGAACCACGGTTGTTTGGTTTGCAGGCCCGAGCTCAATCCACTGAGCTACACCACCAGCCAGGTCTTGCTCAGTTTTCTTCTTAGCACTTCCTACCAACTTACATAAATATGCAATGCCCTTTCACACCCATTACCTGAGCTAGACTATCAAGGTCCTAGCTTCAACATGACCTCACTTCTAAGTGGAATCTAATGAACAAAATGAACTAACGAGAAAAATAGAACCGAAGACATGGAAACATGGAACAGACTGATAACCGTGGGAGGGGAGGAGAGCGGGAGGAATGGTTGAAGGGGAAGGGACTAGTCAAAGAACATGTGTGGCCCTGGCTGGTGTGGCTCAGTGGACTGAGTGCTGGCCTGCAAGCTAAAGGGTCGCTGGTTTGATTCCCAGTCAGGGCACATGTCTGAGTTGTGGGTCAGGTCTCCAGTAAGGGGTGTGTGAGAGGCAACCACACATTGACATTTCTACCTCTCTCTTTCTCCCTCCTTTCCCCTCTCTAAAGAGAAATAAATAAAATCTTTTTAAAATAAAGAACATGTATGAGTGACCCATGGACATGGACAACGAATAGAGAGGGGATTAACTATGGGAAAGAGGGTGCGCTGGGTGGAGGGGGGCAAAAGGAGAAAAAAATGGGACAACTGTAACAGAATAAACAATACAACAAAATAGAGAAGAAGAAAAAAAAAGGTTCTAGCTTCAGCTGGATTCCTGACCTTGCATTTGACCATCAGCCAGCCCCATCCCCCCTGCTCTTCCCATCCATAAACCACTAAGCTTAAGCCTGCTGGGTTCTGAGGGCCAGAGAACCCCACAAACCTCTGCACATACCAGGCTGAGAGGAGGCAGTAGGAAGTTTTCGGGTTCTCGGCTGGGGGACCGTTTGGGGGGTCTCACTCCCAGCAGCTCCACCCCCTCGGCCTCATCCCCTGAGCTCTGGGCCAGGGTCCTAGAGGAAAACAGATAATAACCTCAGAACATAGCAAACACGGGCGGGGTGGGCACCACTGTGAGCAGATGAGGCGCATCCATTCACTCCCCCAAGCAGTAGTTATCTATGCATCCACCCACCAATCCATCTTCCCATTCATCTGTGTGATTCACTCGCCCACCCATACAACCTCCATCCATTGACCCTCCTATTTGTTCACGTTTCTATCCATCCGCTCACTCCCCCACTTGCCGTCCATCCATCATCGATGCATCCCACCACCTACTGCAGTCATGAATTTCCTCCCTCCTGCATTTAACACGTCTTTATTAGGCACCCACTGTATACCCTGCGTCAATCTGGGAGCCTTGGAGAATACCGAGATGTATGCGTAAGAGCCTCGGAAGGACAGTAAACAGACCGCTCTGGAGACTAAATGGGCATGTGCCCACAGCTGCAGAGCAAAAACTGAAGTATTAGGGATCTAACATCTGAGGAAGAGGGACATGGACCCTCTGAAATCACATGCAAAACGTGTATTTCTAGGTGTGCGTAAACTTTCCTGGGAAAGAGCCTGTGGTTTTCAACAGATTCTCAAAGGTATTAGGAAACTTAGTTCTAGACAGTTTCTCTGACGTTGCGGCAATGTCCTCACAACCATGACAAATGGTCGCGAGGCCAGAGATCAGTATGTTCCAAAGGAGAGGGCCCTGGTGGACTGGAGGATTTAGGTAAACAACGAGAACAGGGAAGGGCGCACCAAAAGGCAAAGAGAAAAAACATAGAGGTTGGGCCCTGGCTGGTGTGGCTCAGTGGACAGGGTGCCCGTCTGCGAACCAAAGGGTTGCTGGTTCGATTCCTGGTCAGGGCACATGACTGAGTTGTGGGCCAGGTCTCCAGTAAAGGATGCGTGAGAGGCAACCACACATCAATGTTTCTCCCTCTCTTTCTCCCTCCCCTCCCCTTTCTCTAAAAAATAAAATAAAATGTTTTAAAAAAAACCATAAAGATTGGAACAAACATGCCATGTGTTGGAGATGCTGGGGTGGAAAGCAGAAGGATGAGGCTGAAGGAGGAGGCAGGAGCAAGACAGGCCGCCAGGGACCGTCTCTATACCCCCTTTGCATCCATTCCCCCCATACTGTGGCTCACCTCTTCCGGGCCCCAGCCACGAATGGGGCCGAGGGGTCCCCTCTGGAAGGGCTGGAGAAGCTCAGCCGGGGGTCACTCCCCCAGCGAGGCAGCAGGGTGGGCTCAGGAGGTGGGGGCAACAGGCCGTGGAAGCTCCGTGCACGGGGCCGGGGGGCAGCCCCCGGAGGTCTGTGGTAGGCCCTGGGCACGTGCTCGCTGGAGTTGAGCTGGAAGTCGTCATCCATGGAGATGTACGGGGCCAGCATCTCCAAATCCATGGCATCGACATCCTGCAGAGGGCAGGAAGGAGTTAACAGCGTGAGCCTCAGCCTCGGGTGGGTCCCAGCTCCACCACTTCCAAGTGGTGTGCCTAAGTTCTGAGCTTCAGTTTCCTCATCTGTCAAATGGGCATAAGGACTCTGTGGTAACCAGTTGCCAGCATGGCCCCCAAGGACCCTCTCCTCTTGGCTCAATCCCTGACTGCAGTGACTAGGGCTGCTCTGGCAACTGTAGGACATCAATGAGATGATGGTGCATGATGTCCATCAACATTAGGTTATAAAGATGCCGTGGCTGTTGTATTTTGCTGCTCTCTCTGTCTTTCTCATTCTCTCTCATCACTTGCTTAGGGCGGAGCCATGCTGTGAGCAGCCCCGTGGAGAGGCTCACGGGGTGAGAAACAGGCCTCTTGCCAACGGCCGAGTGAGTGACCTTGGCAGTGAATCCTCCAGCCCCAGTCAAGCCTTCGGGTGACTGCAACCCTGGATCACAACTTGACAGCGACCCGACCAGAGACCCTGAGCCAAAGCCACCCAGTTCCGTGGCTCCCAGACTCCTGACCCCCAGAAATTATGTGAGGTAATACATGACTGCTGTTTTAACCTTCTCCGTTTTTTAAAAGATTTCATTTATTTATTTTCAGAGAGAGGGGGGAAGGAAGGAGAAAGGGAAACACCAACGTGTGGTTGCCTCTTGTGCGCCCCCTACTGGGGACCTGGCCCACAACCCAGGCATGTGCCCTGACTGGGAATTGAACCAGCGACCCTTTGGTTCGAAGGCTGATGCTCAATCCACTGAGCCACACCAGCCAGGGTGGAAAGAGGATTTTTGATGTGTGGTGGTTGAAAGTTTAGCCACAATGCTCTCTGCAGCTGTGGGAAAGCAAAAAATGTAACTAGTGAACTAGGTGATCTAGCTAAGGAGGCCAGCCCAGGTGTCGAAGGGGCTGCCTGATTTCATTTTGTTACTTGGAATCAAAGTCAAGAAGAGAGGGAAGCTAAGGAAATGAAGGACCTGGGACCTGAAAGTCTTGAGAATCCTCAACCTCCCTGTGCACTGAAGAATTAACTTTACCCTGAAAGAGGTTCAGCCCTTGTCCTGGCTCCTGGAAGGTAACATCTAAACCACTGGAATTTCCTGAGTGGTGGGGTGTCTTTGCTGCTCATGGCGGGCCCCTCTGGACCGTGCCTGATAGTTTATGCCAACAAGATGACTCAGGATGAGGGCTGCCTATGCTGGAAAGATCAACGCTGTGATTACAGGGTTGGGGCTTTGGGCCACGTGACACCGGCCTGACCCCCCGGGCAGCAACTCAGTCAATGATGCCTACACGATGAAACCCTTAGGAAAGACTTTGGGCTCCAAAGCTTGAGTGAGCTTCCTGGAGTGGCAATTTTCCACATACAAGTTGCCACACATCAATGTCAGGAGGGTGACACCTTCCTGGGGAAATGGACACTTTGCACTGGGGGACCCTCCCAGTCCCAGATTCCACCCTATGCAACTTGTCCTTTCGGCTACGATACGACTGTAGTCATAAGTATTGCACTTTCCTAAGTTCTGTGACTAGATCTAGGAAAATACTGAGCTTGAGGGCATCTCTAAATTTTTATGCAGCTATTGTGAAGTGAGGGTGGCCCTGAGGAGCCTTGAACTTGGGCATATTTGGCAGTCTGGGCGACTCTGTCTTTTACTTTGGCTTTAGTTGACTCTGGGAACTCCCCAGATGGCAAATACTGCTAAAATGAAGAAATAAATGGTTTCTGAGCAAAGAAGGGCACTCTCAGAAAAGCATGATCTAAAGGAAAAGCCAGGGTCTGACTGTCAAACTCCTTGTGAAGACTTCAGAAAGATCAAGGTTGGTACCTACCCCTGTTCTTCAGTTAGACAAAAGGCTCTACAGTTTTGGGATGTGCCTCATAAATCTTGTCAAACAATAGGGCCTCTATTAAACTTCAGGGCACTCAGCCACCTCAGCAGAAGTATGAGACAGAAAAGGATATATCTCAGTGAGATTTGTGGCACGACTTTTGTTTAATGACGTGAACACCAACGAGATTCATAAAAGACCCACAAAAAGGTTAAAGAAAATCACATGAGTAGAAACACTGCCAGTTTGGACTGAAAGGGACAGAGATCATACAAAATGAGAAGAGACTTTTGGACCACCTGAGTTCTATAAGGAAGCCAGGAATGAAAACCACTCATCTGGGAATACCTGTTACATTTTACAAAAAAGGAAGGGTGACTGAGAGTGGGGAGCAAAGAGCCCAGAGGGCAGAGCCAAGAACCACTAAGAAAAACTCCTGGGAAGTAGCAGAAATGGGTTCTGATCAAGGAACTTTCAGTATTTCCTTGAATTTCAGTATTTCCCAACAGAATTTCAAAACTGCTATGGACCAGTGACACCTGTGTGTTTTCCTTCCACCTTTTTTCTTTTTTAATTTTTTAAAAATATTTTATTTATATATTTGTAGAGGGGAAGGGAAGGAGAGAGGGAGAGAAACACCAATGTGTGGTTGCCTCCCGTGTGTCCCCCGCTGGGAACTGGCCTGCACCCCAGGCATGTGCCCTGACTGGGACTCGAACCGCGATTGTCTGGTTCGCAGGCCCCCGCTCAATCCACTGAGCTACACCAGCCAGGGCTCCTTCCACCTTTTTTGAACAGGTGTATGTACAGCAGTTGTTCTATGCCTCTCCTACCACTGTATGTTGGGTATGTGGGGCCAGATGATCTGTCTCTTCAGTTCACAGGCCAACAGATCGAGATAGACTGTATTGGAGGAACTTCACTGCACCCAGGTCTGATTTAGGGGAGGAGAGGCTGGAATTCAAGCTGATGCTGCGAGAGGAAGTGACTTTGTAACGGAGCCCCCATGGTCCTTGTAGTTTGGTATTCACACCTGTATGTGGTTGCCTTTCACACTGCGCTAGGGTTGGTCTGTGTGGCTAACAGAATACAGTAGAAGTGTCGGTACGTCACTTCGAAGATTAGGTTATAAAAGACAGCACCTTGCCCTGGCTGGTGTAGCTCAGTGGTTTGAGTGCAGGCTTTCGAACCAGAGGGTTGCCAGTTTGATTCCCAGTCAGGGCACATGCCTGGGTTGTGGGCCAGGTCACCAGTAGGGGGTACTCAAGAGGCAATCACACATTGGTGATTCTCTCCCTCTTTCTCCTTCCCTTCCTCTCTCTCTAAAAATAAATAAATAAAATCTTTAAAAAAAAGAAAGACAGCATCTTCTGGCCTGGACCCACTCTGTTCCTTGGATTATTTGCCCGGGGGAAATACATCTGCCCCATTGTGAGGACACATAGGCAGCCTCCGTAGAGGCTCATGTAGTGAGGAACTGAGGCCTCCAGCCAGAGCCAGTGAGGGACTGGGTCCCGCCAGCCACAAGGTGCATAAGTTTGGAAGTGAATCCTCTGTAGCCCCAGATGACTGTAGCCTTGACTAAGACCTTGACTTCAGCCTCATGAGAAACTTGGAGCACAAACGATCCAGCTAGGCTGCTCCCAGATTCCTGATTCTCAGAAACCGTGCGACATAATAAATGTGAGTTGTTGTAAGGGGCTGAGTGTTGGGGGAATTTGTTATGCGGCAATAAGTAATCAATACATCATGGACTGCCATTTATCTATCCACTCAACCATTGATGCAGACATTATCCCTCTATCTATCATCCATCCAATGAACTGATGGTCTGTCTACCCAACTACCTGTGCAAACATTGCCTCCACCCACCCATCTACCCAAACATCTGTCTAAACCTCACTCATCTGTCTATCCACCATCACCCACCTACTAAACAAAATGGTCTGCCCATCCACCCTTCCGCGCGCCCTTTTAACCATCTCCCTTTTCTCCAAAGACCATGTATGCCGGCCCTCACACCAGCCCTTACCTGAGCTACATCCAGATCTGTCTCAATCGTCTCAAGGTCTTTCCCCGAGGCCAAGACTTTGTGTGTGGTCTCCACGTCCCCGAGTAGCTCATCTGGGAGATCGGCCTGGGAGGAGACAGGGTTAGGAAACCTTGAACCTGGTCGATGCCAGCAGGAAGACAGTCTAGACATTTGAGGCCAGGGGTACAAGTGAGGGGCAAAGGTCAAACAGCTGGACACCAAGGGTGTCAGATAGCAAATGCAAATGTAGTTCTTTTTTTAAATTTTATTTTTATTTATATTTAGAGAGAGGAAGGGAAGGAGAGAAACATCAATGTGTGGTTGCCTCTTGTGTGCCCCCAGGTGGAGACTTGGCCTGCAACCCAGGCATGTGCCCTGACTGGGAATCAAACCAGCGACATCTTGGTTTGCAGCCCGTGCTCAATCCACGGAGCTACGCCAGCCAGGGCTGCAAATGTAGTTCTAAAGGCATCTGTTCAAAGAGTGCCTGGATATTGATCCATAGGAAAAACATCAAAGGTCTGAAAGACCAGAGCCCGAGGCCAAGACATTCAAGGCCCTGTGGAATTAAAGGTCCTGGAATCTGGGGGGAAAACCACGCTGAGTCCAGCTGTCCCAGGGGTAAAGAGTGAGGTCAAAGGTCACAGCTTAGTTCTCTGGTGGAGAGAAGATGGGGGGCGCATAGGAACGTCAGCCCAGGTAATATGGACCCCTGAGTCAAAGGTCAGACTACCTGGACTCTTATGTAAAAATAGTAACTGCTATGGTCTATAGAACACCTACTAGGTGTCAGGCTCTTACTAAGGTCTTCCCGCGAATAATCTCACTGAACCTTTACAACAACCGATGAGGCAGCTATTTGCTATTATCCTAATTTTACAGGTGAAGAAACTGAGGCTCCACTTATCCGGGGGCAACACAGTGGTAAGCAGCAGGTTCAGGATGTGGATGTAAGTTTGTGTAATTTAAGACATTAGACGTTCTTAACTCATTGAGGTCAAACTTCAGAGAGCTCGGGTGCTTGGTCCACAAGCCAGGAGGGGCTCACCCAAGCCAATCCCAAACACCCCAGGTTTTGGTCCAGATAATGGTTGAACAATGTGGAATCGAGATCTTAAAGGCATCCCAGGCCCCGTCTCATCCCAACCTTCCTGCTACACAAATGGAGAAACTGAGGCCCAGAGAACAGCAAGGTTCAAGTCAAAGGACAAAGCAGCCTGGATCCCAAGGGCTTACCGGAAGGGGGCTCTGGGGACGCCGGGTGACTCGGGGTGCACTGGGGGTGGCGGCTACTGAAGTCCCATCTAGGATAGGTGCCAGGAGGCGACGGAGGTCAGGGCTACAGAAACGGCGGGGATCAGCGGCCAGGGTGGCCTCGCTCAGGGCAGGGGGGTGTAGGAAGGCCAGGATCCGGGGGCCAGAGGCGTCTGCAGGACACATGAGATGAGGGAGGTTGCAGGATGGTCACTCAGGGCTGAGGGGCGGAGCCCTCCACGCCAACCCGGGGGAGCATTGTTGACATCTTCAACAACCAATCAGGGTGGACACAATTCATAGCACTGGGGAGCTGGGTCTTAAAGAACCCCTGCTGGGCCAGGTGCTATCCCCTTGGTTGTCAGATTATGGCACGTCCAGGAGAGTTCTGTGGGAGGGGACAACATGGGGTGAGGGCACACAGTAGGCTTGAGATAGTAGCAATTGCCCAGCAGTGGGGAAGTGTTTTAATATTGAAAATTGACATGGCTGGACCAGGGCACACAACTGACTGGATTCCACCATTCGGCTGAGGGGGCCTTGAATGTTAGGAGAAGAGCCTGGCCCAAGGCTCTCCAGGACATTCTAAAGTCCCTGCAGGTCAAGACGTGGCCTGAGCCTGTTCTGAGCCAGGGAAGGAAAGGGGACCACCGACTCCACACCACACCCAGGAGCAGGGACTGCCAGCAATCAGCTTGGAAAAGGTGAAGCCCTTGAAGAACAAACAGGGACGGAAGCTCATCCAGGACTGGGGGGATGCCAGGGGTGGGCCAGGGAGGAAGAGGTAGTAAGGAACCAGATTGGAGAGGGTCAAGGTTACTGGAAGCCAAAGAGCAATGAAGGGGGAAGAAGGGGACAAACTGAAGGGCGGGGGCGATGGGGAGCCACAGCAGGATTCGGAGCACAGAAAGCAAACAAGACTGAAGCAATCATCGCAGGGACACAGGAGAAGAGGAGGGAGGAAAGAAGGAAGAGAGGAGAGCATTCTGGGCAGAGGAAACCACACGTGCAAAGGCCCTGAGGCATGAGAGAGCCTGGCACGTTCTGAGAGCCCCAAGGAAGCTGGTGTGGCTCAGAGTGGGTAAATAAAGGAAGGAGGCAGGAGGCGGGTCACACAGGGTCACAAGCCCACGTTAGGGCACTTGGGCTTTCTCCTAGGCATCCTGGGGACACAACCCTTCCCAGCCCCAGCCCTGCCCCATACCGAGGCTGTCCCCAGGATTACGGGTGTCCTTCTGAGAGACGGTGGCCCGCTGAACAGGTCTGCAAGAGCGTTGCTCCGTTTGCTCCAGGGACAGCACCACTCCAGTCTCTTCCACTCGGCTGGGGTACAGGGCAGAAAGGGGAGCGGGAGTCAGGGGGGGTCCTGGGTCCCGCCCAGGAAGCCTCCTTGGACGGTGTCCTTATGGGGGGCAATCCCATCCAGGAGCAGGAGGGCACCGTGCAGAAAATAATTTGTCCCATTTACTGGTTTCTTTTACAAATTTAATGTTTCTTGAATGCTTTTTATTATAATAGCATTTAAAAGAAAGTTAAGTGTATCTTCCCAAGCTCTTCTGTGGAAGGAAAGGCAGAAAAAAAGAGTTGGCATTTAGCATGGCTTTGGCAGAGGGGGAGGCTGAGGGGGGTGGGGAACTGAGAGGCAGAGAGGGCAGAACAAAAGGTATAAAAATGAAATATTCTCTTTATAGATATTTACTTATAGATATATCCATAAAAATGTATTAATGAGGAATATACATTTAACACTCCCATGTTATCAAACATGAAGAATCCATAGGGTTATATTTTAATGCATATTTTAAGATTTTTATTTCTGAAGATTCTATTCATAGACATTCAAGGGGATGGATTTATAAATACATCCCTCTTCTGTGTCCCCTGCGCCTCCCCTCCCCGCAGTCTCCAGCTGCAGAGACAATCCAAATGTTCGCTGAGCAAACTGCCTTTTGGAGAATTGGTCTGGGGTTGAGGACCAGACCCTCATTTGCATCTCATTTGCATAGCGCTCTCCAGGACAGAATGTGGGCGGTCCTCCCACCAGCTCTTAGAGAAGCTATGAGCCTTTCCCACCCTCCCTAAAACCCCTTCTGGGCTGGAAAAGCCGCAGTTTAGGCCGGACCAAAGCTACCCCATCCCCTTTGAAAAACACCAGCATACACAGTACACACACTCACACTCTTGGTACACATGGGCACCAATGTCAACACTCACATATGTCCATGAATACACATAAACAGTTAAGTGCGTGTATTTCATACACTCGGTCTGGCACAGGGAGTTCCTTATTTGTTCATCCCACAAGCATTTCCCAGACAATTGCTATGGCTTAGCAGCTAAGAGCAAGGGCTCTGCAGCCCGTGCGCTCTGGGTTCAAATCCCAGCTCTGCCACTATGAGCTGTGTGACCTTGAGCTTGTGGCTGAACCTCTCTGGGCCTCATTCTCCTCCTCTGTAAAGAAGGAATAATAATAGTAACTCTACCCCAGGTTGCTACAAGGCTTAAGTGAGTTAATATATGTACAAGGGGATAGAGGTAGATGCTACAAAGGACAAGCACCTGAACACACACCAATACAGCCACATAGCCACAGACTGTACAATATATACACAGCACGAATGATAATTAATATCATATGCTCCTCCATCCATGGCTACTAAGTAAACTATCATTCCTCACCCATTTTCTGCTGGCAAAACGGCAATTTCCAGGCCCAGCTCTTTGCTCAGAGTGCAAAAAAAAAAAAAAAAAAAAAAATCCCAGGGCCCGGCCATAAAAAGACAAATCTTCATAATGAATAAAAGCAGTTTCCAAAAGAGGTACATCAGCCCCCGTCTTTCACTGTCTGTAAGTTATTCAAAGATTCTGAACTGGAAAGGTGTCGAAGTGAGAACATTCAAAAGGCCATCCATCCGTGTGTTTTCTCGTGTGACAGAAAGACGCGTGTGAACACTTCTGTCACCACCTTCTATTTTCTAATAGAATCTCTCCTTGATTAAAAAGACCCTGGGAAGACGCCTAACCCTGTAGAGCAGGGGTGTCAAACTCATTTTCACCGGGGGCTACATCAGCCTTCAAAGGGCCGAATGCAATTTCAGCTCCTTAACAGTTAAGGAGTAGTTACATCTATACAATCTGAAATTATTTCGGCCCTTTGAAGGCAACCTTGAGGTTGATGTGGCCCCGCAGTGAAAATGAGTTAGACACCCCTGCTTTAGAAATTGGGACCATGTCCTAGAAGGTACCCTTCAAAGAAAAGCTATAATTCTCTCTGTGTTGTGTGATCCTTTATTGTCTTCAATGCCATGTTGTTATTATGGTGGAAAACGTCTAAGATACACAGTGGGGTGGGGGGCTTGGCTTGCCGTTACACTTCCGTGAGAACAGCTAACATTAAAACCCAACGAGACAAAAAGAGACAATGCAGAATGCTGTCAACCACACGACCGGAGCCTTCATACACTGCTGATGGGAACGCGCCGGGGTACAGCCACTTTGGAAAAAACAGTTGGGCAGTTTCGTATGAAGTTAAATATACACTGCCCATCTGACCCATTCATTTCACTTCTCAGTGTTTACAGAAGAGAAATGAAAACACATGGTTTCACAAAGTCCTGTGTGAGAATGCTTACGGTAGCTTTTTGGGTAATCACCCCAAATGGGAAACAGACCAAGAGTCCTCCGACGGGTGAATGGGTAAACAAACTGGAGTCTATTCAGATTCAAACCCCAGAATACTACTCAGCGTGAAAAAGAGTCTAGGGCTCTATACCACATCATGGCTTTCCAGACATCGCACTGAGCCAGAAGAGCCAGACTCCTGAGGCTGTTACAGACGCCAGAATCCCACCTACACGGCATCCTGGTAAAGGCAAACTTCTAGAGTCAGAGGGCAGGCCGGTGGTTGCCAGGGGCTGGGGGTGGGGAGGAATTCACAATGAGAGAATTTGGGGGGGGGCGATGGAACTATTCTATAGCTTGATTGGGGTCACAGCTGCACAATTCCACGCATGTGTCCAAACTCCTAGAACCCTGTACCACAAAGGATGAGTTTTTTTCCTCAATGCAAATTACACCTCAATATTTTTTAAAAGCAGAACAACTCCCCATGAATCTGCTAGATTTCTTATTCTAACTGGAATACAGCCCTTCTAATTTAAATGAACAGAAATTCATATGCACACACAGGCTCGTGTGCTCACATGTACACACACCTGTCCACACACATACAGACTAGACCCGGCACACAGTCACCCCGCCCCCTCCCGCTTACCTGATTAGGAAGTGGACGCAGATGATACTCTCAGACTCGGGGCCCCGGCCCCCTGACACCACTGTGGCCTGGGTCTGCGTCCACAGGTAGCCACCACTCCGTGCCAGGAAGCGATACCGCCCCGTTACTGCCTGTCCCTTGCTCAGCACTGGGGAGGGGGATGGGAGGGCTCAGGGCCACAGAAGGGGCACATGGAGAGAGAAGGCTCTCGGGGCAAAGGGCTGGGCATGAAGGGGCCAGGGAAGATGGGGTTCCTTGGGGATCGGGGAGCAGGGAGCTAGCTGGCATTGGCTAGGGCCACGCAGGGGAGAGAGAGCCGGAACACATACGGGTGTGGATGCTCTGGCCCACTGCATCCGAGTCCAGTGCGTGGATGTACTCGTAAGCAGAACAGCCAATCAGATCATCGGGGCTGTAGCCGGCGACTTCCGCGATCCTGGGGGTGGTACAGCGGCGCCTGGTCAGTTCAACTGGCTGAGGTAGATGGAGGGTGGAGGGAAGGGGGACATGCGGATCCGGGGACCAAGCTGGCAAGACAGACGGAGACAGGGTTGTGGCAGAGAGAGTAAGAAATAGAGAAAGAAGAGTGCAGTAGGCTGGATAATGACCCCAAAGAGGTCCGGAGCTAATTCCCAAACCTGTAAATGTGTGAGCTTACGTGGCAAAAGGAACTTCGCGGGTGTGATTAAGTGAAGGGTCTTGAGATGGGGAGATGCCTAAATTTTCTGTGGGAACCCAGCGTAGTCATGGGGGTTCTTATCAGAGGGAGGCAGGAGATCAGAGTGAGCGTAGGAGACGTGACGGAGGAGGAGGACGGTGGAGTGATGTGCTTTGAAGGTGGAGAAAGGAGCCGCGAGCCCAGGAACGCAGGGCGTCTTCAGAAGCTGAAAAGGGCAAGGTGACAGGTGCTTCCCTGGACCCTCCAGGGGGAACGCAGCCCTCGATTTCAGCTCCATGGGGCTGATTTCAGACTTTCCACCTCCAGCACTCTGAGGGAAGGGTTTTGTGTCATTGGGAGACACTGTGTTTGTGGCGATGTTACATTAACCACAGGAAAGGAATACAAGCAAAGAGGGAGGGTGGAATGGGACAAGGGAAGAAAAGAAAGAGAAGAGTAACAGTGTGAAAGAAAAAGGAGAAGGGGAGAGAGAGGAACAAAGAAAAGCGCAAAGAGAAAGATCAGACAGAATGAAGAGAAATAAAAAGTCATAATGATGATACTGATTTAAAAAAATACACACACACACACACACACACACACACACACACACACACACACACATCTACGGTGCTTCGTACCAGGCGACCTACTGAGTGTTCAGAACAACTGCTCACAGCAGGTTCTGTTACGACTCCGTAGGATAGACGAGGAAAGCGTGGCGCAGAGACGTGAAACCATTTGGCCGACAACTCACAGCCGGGGTTTAAACCCAAGCTGTCTGAACCCAGAGTTGCCATTCCTAAGTACCACTCCGGGGCCAGGGAGAGAGGGGAGATACAGAAAAACGAAGGGAGGAAGGAAGGAAATGAAGAGCAGAGAGAAGAGACGGAGAGAGAAAATAGAGAGATAGAGTGAGAACTGATAAAGACAGTTTGTTGGGCCTGGTACCGTTTCGCCTGAATTGACCCATTTTAAGAAAGCAGTAGGACAGGGAGGAAGAAACAAAGACTACAAGAGAGAAGGGCAGAGAGAATCAAAGATAAAAAGACCCACAGAAAACTCAGCGAACTTGGGCTGAAAGAAAGAGGAGGGGCTGCAAGGAGGACGGGCGCGTGCGCAGCTGGGCTACTGCGCACCTCTCGTCACAGTACGTGAACTTCATGTCCAGGCTGTGGCGGCTGAGGAAGGCGCCCCGGCCCAGCGGGGGCTCCAGGCTGCCCGGGTGGGGGATGGCTTCACAGATGAGCACCAGGCATTGCAGGGGCGGCTCTAAGTTGGGGCTCCTGGCTGGGGAAGTCTGTGCGGGGGGCTTGTAGACCCTCATGTGTCCAGAACAGTGCAGCACCTGGTGAAGGAAGGGCGAGGCGTGATGCGCAGGGGCCTGGGGAACCCGCAGGGCTGAGAGGTATGTGTCTCTGGGCCCCACAGGTGAAGAAGAGATCCCTGAAGACTGCGTGGGCCCAGCTCAGAGAGCCCTGAGGTCCCCCAGTCCCGCACCTCCACGGAGACCTGACCTAAGGAGGTTCTGAAGATCTCCAGATTTTAAGATTCAGGGAGGTCTGAGGACCCCAGGTATAAACCGCATGGAGAATCTAGTCGCAGGAGGCTCGGACCCCGCAGGCCCACAGAGATCCAGACAAAGAATGGATACAAGGACACCCAGCCCCCCAACTCCACGGACACCCAACCTCCTGGATACCTGAAGGACCCACCAGATCCCGCCCTAAGAGAGACCCCCAGGAGACCCCTGGACTCCCCCCCCACTCCCCGCACTGCAAGCCTTCTTCCAGGCCTGGCCCCGCCCACCTTCCAGGTGGCCGCCTTGAGGTTGAGTGTGCGCCCGCGGTTGGTGAGGGTGCTCTTCATCCGCAAGGAGAAGCAGCGCTCCGTGGGGGCCCCTGGCTTCTTTCTGGACAGGCCTAGAGAGGGCCATGGTGGGGCAGGGGGAGAAGCAGGTGACGGAGGCGGCTTTGGATAGGGTCCAGTTCCCTCTAGCATCCTGGGTACTAAAGCCTCCCCAGCCTCTTGCCCAAAATTGAGACCCGGACCCAGAGAGGGTCTCCCACAGGGTAGGGTTTTCTCCTTCAGACCCAGCCTCCTGGGACAGAGCCACATCCTCCTCTTCTCATTTTTTTTTTCAATCCAAAAATCAAAGAGGAGATATTCGGAGGGCAGGGCAAAGCCGCAGTTTCTGCAATTTGGGGACAGAGGCCTCCAGGGAACTCACTCTGCTGGGGGACCAGGGCATCCTGAAGCTCCTCTTGGTCGCAGGGATGGATGAAATCAAAGATGCTGTGTCCAATGAGCTCCAGCTGTCAGGGAGGGAAGGAGGGGGCTGCCTTGGAGGGAACGCGGTTGGCCAAGGCCTCTGGCCCACCTCCCCCCTTCCCCGCTTCAGCGCCCCGTCCTAATGCAGGAGCCTGGGTTATGTCACCCATCGCCTTATTCATTCATGCATGCATTCACTCACTCATCATTCATTCATTCACTCACCACCATTCATTCATTCATCATTCATTCATTCACCCATCATCGTTCATTCATTCATTTCTTCCTCCAGCATGCTATGTGCCAGGCCCTTGTGGAGATGGAATGGACACAGCAGTGACCACTAAGACAAAGTCCCTGCCTCCCAGAGCTTACTGGGTAGTGAGGGACAGTAGCCAATAAAAGAAAACCAAACCCATATTTATCAAAATAATATAATAAGAAATACGAAGAAAACTAAAGGAGGGGGAGGCGGTGAAATGAAGAGGTGCTATTTCAGAGGCCATAGTCAGGGACAGTTTCTCTGAGGAGGTGACGTTCGGACAAATTGCTGAACAAAGCCAGCGAGGTGGCCTTGTGGCTCTCTGGAGTAGACTGTTCCAGGAAACAGAACGGCAGGTGCAAAGGCCCGGAGGCGAGACCCCATTCAAATCCCACCTGTTTGGCAAACCAAAGACCCAGGTCTTTTTTTCAATTCAGGCAGTGAGCCTGGTGCTGGCAGCGGGGGACACAGGTAGAAGGGGATCCACAGAGCACACCGTCCGAGGGTAAGATCTCCCTCCTCTAACACCACCTCTCGTTGCTGGGTTTGAATCTGGACCCTGCCACTTTCTAGCTTTGGGGCTGTGGGACATGCACCTCTCTGAGCCCTGGAGCTCAAGCTGAAGGACAAATTGGTACCCGGAGTGAGGACACGAGGCAGGGAAAAGGAACAGATGTGACTTGGAACCCATTTAAGAAAAATAATGGTAACTCTTTCCCAGGGTTTGCTGGAAAGATTAGCTGAAATTAGTTCTCCCTGAGTGTCTCTTGTTTGTCTTCCATCCCCAGCAGCCCCTACTCCTCTTCTCCCACCCGAGGCCCTGCATCCACCTCCATCAGGATCTCCCCCACTCAGCCCCCAGAGGAATCTCTGAAATGCAAATCTGATTCTACCTCTCTGACACCACCTCTCCTCTGCTTAAAATCCCTCCGTGGCTCCCCAGTGCCCTGAAGATAAACTTCCTAATTTGACCCTACTCTAGCCCCTGCTGGCTTCTCTCACCTTTTTTTCTCTCTTATCTTCTCCCATTGTACTTTGAACTTAAGCAGGACCAATGTCTTTATTTTCCCAAAACACTCTGTTTTTATCCCACCTCTGGGTCCTGGCATATTCTGTTCCCACAGTTATCTATATTCCTAGCCTTTGCTGGTCTCATTTATTTATTCTCCACACCTTTTGACGGGCCAGGTCCTTCGGGTTTCTGCTTGGAAGTGTTCTCCTCCTGGAAACCCCTGATTCCCCCCAGGTGGGGTCTGGTACCCTATCCACGCTCCCCCGGCTCCCACAGCCCCCTCAGCTAGCTGTCCCTGAGCATCCTGAGTCTTCCAGTCTGGTCACATACCTGCCTCCCTCTGTACGGGGAGCCCTGTAAAGGCAGGGCTAAGGCAGTCCTGGTCACCCGTGTCCCAGCATCACCTGCCTGCGCTAAGCACAAAGCAGGCAGCTCCTCTCACCTGACTGAGGCCCAGGTGTTTGCTGACGTTCTCCGACAGGTAAGCCATGTCTCCCTCAGCGGTGAGCACCATGACGAAACCCTCCAGGGCCTTCAGGTAGCAGGCATCCAGTTGTTCGCCCCCTGTTCCCACCTGGTTCCACTCCCCTGGTGTCCAGACCAGGGTGGGTGGGGCATCTTTAGTCAGCGGGAGGGCCCCGCTGGCTAGCTCCCCTCTGCCTTCCCTCACTCAGAGGAAATTACAGGCACCTCCCAGAAGACAGAATTGGAAGGCAGCAGGTGTCTCCCAAGGGCCTAGAACTCTTAGGACAGAATTCTAAGGGGGCGAGATTCCCGGTGCTCAAAATTCTAAGGGGCCAGGGCTTAGGGGGAGTCGGAACTCCAAGGGGTCAGGCCTCCTAAGGGTTCTGAATTCTTGGGGCAGGACCTTCCAGATGGGCAGAATTCTAGACAAGCAGGGACTCCCAGGTGACAGAATTCTAAGGGGGCACAGCCTCCCAGACAAGTAAAATTCTTTTGGGCAGAAGATTGACAAAGCCTGAAAGAGGATGGCTCCACTTTCCAAGTAATCTTTTCAAGGGTCCTGGGATTCCAAGGCGCATGCGCACGCATGTGTATATGTACGTGTGTGTGTGTGTGTGTGTGTGTGTGAGAGAGAGAGAGAGAGAGAGAGAGAGAGAGAGAGAGAGAGAGAGAGAGAGAAAGCCTCCTGCAGAGTGGAATTCTCACTGGATGGGAATTCAAAGGGATTGCTACTTACTGGGACCAGAAATAGAACTAGGGAGCTGGGGAAGGGAAGGAGTACTTTCTAAGTAATTAAAAATTGGGCAGAGAAGCCTCCCAGGGATATTTATTATAAGGGGACCAGGCCTAGTTGAGGTCTCCCGTAGGACCAAATTCTAAGAATTGAGGTGCTTTAGGGAATTAGCAGGCCCCCAAAGGGAGTGAGGCTTCCCTGGGGTGCAATCCAAGGGGCGGGACCTCGCAAGTGATGGACGTCTAAAGGGGCGGGCTCCGAATGCTCGGAATTCCAGCGGGGCGTGGCCTCATCGCCGAAGTGGATGCGGAGGGATTCGGGCTCCACACGGGAAAGCATCAGGGGGCGGGGCCTTGTCGGGATTGGCTTCCCAGAGGAGGGGCTTCCCTGGGGAAGGACCTGGCCAAGGTGGGAATTCCCAGGAGCGGGGCTCACCTGCGGCGCAGAGGCGGTGCATGCGCAGGTAGCTGATGGTGAGGCGCATGATGGAGGCTTTGTCCAGGTGGGCGCTGACCCCGCGCGCGAAAGGCAGCGTGTGCGCCAACTGATAGAGCACCTCGGTCTCCTGGCTGCGACGGCTTCTAGCCGCATCCCGGGATTTTTCCTTGCGGAGCTCCGTGCTTGACCTGCAGGCATGGGCAGCGTTCACTGGCGGCCCCTCGGGAAGGCATAGAGGTGGACGGCACAAGCACGTGCGACGCGGTTGCCACATGGGACCCGGGTTCGCGGTGTGGTCCGGGAGAGTTCCCTGAGCACTCTGGGCCCTGGAAGGCTTATACTCGGGAGTTGCTCCTAGCCTCGGTTTTTATCTGTCTCTACGCCAGTCCAGGCTGCCCTCCTGTGCCTCGCAGCGCTATTCTGTCCCCTCCCTGACTTATCTGCCGTTTGTTTCGCTGCTTGGGACGCCTGGGGCACAGGGAGGCCTCTTGCTGGGAGGGGGCCGGCTGAGCTGGCCCGGAGCTGGCGGGGAGCCAGGGAAGGGAAGGAGCGTGAAGAACACGCCTGTAGCCTCCCAGGCCCCCTGCCCTACAGGGTCCCAGAATCCCCTCTCCTGACCTTCCCGCGCCTCCGCCGAGCTGAGTCCTCAGAATCCTGGAGCATAGATCTCAAAGTCCAAGGACCCACCGACAGGGCCCCCTCTGGGTTCTGTCTGGCCAACAGCTAAACACTCACCGCTGCCCTTTAATCCACTTCCAATGCCTGGATTCTGCAAGTGGCACTGGGGGTAGAAGAATAAGTATCTTTTGGTCAGAAATATATGTCAGCTCTAGCTAGTGTGGCTCAGTGGACTGAGCATGGGCCTGCGAACCAAAGGGTCACCAGTTCAATTCCCAGTCAGAGCACATGCCTGGGTTGCGGGCCAGGTCCCCAGTAGGGGGACGGGTGAGAAGCAACCACACATTGATGTTCCTTTCCCTCTCTTTCTCCCTCCCTCCCCCTCTCTCTAAAAATAAATAAATAAAACCTTAAAAAAAAGAAAGAAATGCATGTCACTTATTTAGCTTTTACTATTGTGTCAGCTCCTGTGCCTCATGTGTGTGATACCTTAACCCATTTCCAGCACAGACAACCTGAGAAGGAAGGTAAGCATCCCCATTGAACAGATGAGTAAACTGAGGCACAGCACGGTGCAGCATTTGCCCGTAAAGAGTGAAGCCAGGGTTTGAGCACTTCTATTTTCTCTGTCCCCCTGGCACTGGGTTTGAATCCAGGTTCTGGTGCTTCTCTCTGTTTCTACCACTGTCTTCAGAGTCGAACTCCAGGTCAGTGTGAATCTGAACTCTAGTGTTTGAGAACAATTTGTAGAGTATACTACCTGTAGCCTATATAATCTTATCTATATTTACAATAGTGGTAAAACCATTCATGATAAGCAGCTATAATTTGCTAAGCAGGTGTGTGTGTAACTGGTAGAGCCAGGATTTGAACTCACTCGGGCAGTGAGGTTCCAAAGCCTTCCTACTTCTGATTCCTGCCTTGTGACCCATCCCAAGCAAGCAAGACTCTAAGACGGGAGGCTGTCCCTTGCTGGAAACCAGAGGCCACTTCTAGGGTTGGCATCAACCTCACCCCCAAACAGCCCCAGCCACAGACATGATGGGGAGTGGGGAGGAGACTGTCCCGCCTGGCTGCAAAGAACAAGACTCCCCAGGCTGGGTGGAGGGCGGAGGGAGCCAGCGATCGCCCCCCATCCCTTCCCTTCTGGCGGGTGGGTGGGGGTGCAGGGGCCTCCAGTCCTGTTCTGCCCAGAGGACATTCCGTCCTGTCCTGTTCTGGTTCTGTTCCAGCCCTGTTTGTCATCCTGCCCAGAGGGCGGGGGTGGGCGGGGCTCGGGCAGAGGGAACAGGCAGTGGGAACAGGAGCGGGGGTGGGGCCGGCCCCCACCTCCCAAGCAGCTGGGCTCTGTAATCTTCTCTGCGGCAGACTTCTCCCTCTACAGAAGGAGCCAGGGTGGCTGCCGCAGGCCCTCCTTCCGTCTCCCAGCCTGTTCTCTGACAGGAAGTGTGGGCCTCTCCTTGGTTTCGTCAATGCCAAGGTCTCCGACCTTTTCCATTAAACACGGTGGGGGGGCCAGTTCCTCTGGTTCAGGGTTCCAGTCTTAACTCAATTACTCATGAGCTGTGTGACTATGGACAAGTTGCACAGCCTCCCTGAGCAAAATAACAACACCTACCTCCCAGGGTTCTTCGAAAGATTAAATGAGTTAGAACGTATCACGGGCTTCGAAGAGGACCTGGCCATAGCTAGCACTCTCTCTATAATTCCCCCCTGGTCCACATCACGGACGGAGGGTTTGGGAGCCTCTTGGGCACTGGAGAAACTGGGGCCTTCGGTGGAATTCCGCGGTGCGGTGTGTGTGGTTACTTACGTGACTTTTACGCAAGCACTTTGGGAAGAAGTTTAACCAATAGGTGACAGTAATAACCATGACAGCCTTGGGGTATTGAACACTCACGGAGCTACGGACTCCATTATGTCCTTTCCACAGCCCTGTGAAGCAGGCAGAGCGACCTCCCTGTCACAGTTCGGGGCCCGGAGAACCCAGCTGCCAATCCCAGACCCTGCACCAACGCCCCAGTGCGAGGCATCTCAGTCAGTCTGACCGTGTAGTTGTTGGCGTCCACACCCCGCCCCGTTTTCCTGAAAAGGAAGCCAGTTCAGGGAGATGATGGAACTTGCCGGAGGCCACACAGCTTTCAGCAACAGCAACAAATTAGAAACCAGGTCTGTCTGTTTCTGCCCAGAGCTCTGTCTGAGTTGAACATGGTCGATTGCATACCAGTGGGGTGTCCTGCTCCCAAAGAGCAGTTCCCTCCCTGCTCATCAACTGCATACAGTATGGGGGAGACGAGGCATGATGGGAGTTTTCCCAGGATGTGAAACTGACGCTCGGAGAGGCAGCCACTGGCACAAGGCCTCGCAGCCTGGAAGCCGGTGAGCTGGGATTTGAACCCTGACTTTAGGGCCCTGTGTTCTTCAATGCCATGCTTTGGCAGGCGTGCCCAGCCGAGGAAACCCTGCCCTGCCCCTCCTTTGCCCAGCAGCCTCAGTCCCTTCCCTTTGTACCACCCTCGCTGTCTCCGGATTTCCCCAGCTGGACAGTCTCCCCAGCTGGCCTCTTGCCCAGCCTTGGTCCAGCCCCCTGGCACTCTGCCCAGCCCGGGACGTGCAGCTGGAACCCTGCCACCCTTCCTCTGTTCCAGCAGAGAACAGGGGGCGGGGCCAGGGCCTGGAGGCCCCAGGGTGAGGCCTGAAAATGGGGACTGGAGCTGGGTACCCCCTAACCAGGAGAGGGAGAAGCCCACTTCTCCCCAGTCCTGAAGAACTGGCCACCCATGAGCAAAGGCCTAGGGAGAGTGGGGAGACCCTGGCTCACATTCAGGGCTGCTCCTGGGCCTCTCTTTCGACACCAAGCTGGGTGTTGGGGGTCTTGCAAAAAGTGTAGAGGACGTGGGGGCCTTAGGCTGTATCTGGGCAGGGACCCTCTTGGCACTGCCCAGTGGTGGCCTGAGAGACCAGAGTCAGGGTTTGGATTTGAGAAGGAGGCGGGGGTGGGGGCCCGGAGGAGTCTCCCTGCTCCCCACCTTGCTCATTGCCAAGGTCATGGTAATCCAGTGGGGTGCCCTTACCGAAAGTCCTGTCTTCCCTGGGAGCCCTCCACCCCGGGCAGCATGCCCATCAGGAACTTCCTAAGAATATCCCTGATCAGGGCAGGGCGGCGGTAAGCCCAAGCAGGAGGAAAGGAAGGGGGTGAGGGGAGATGGGGACCCCACTCGCCATGGCCAAGGCCCCCTTCGGCCCAAGTGCCATCCTAGGGGTGCAGGAGGGGATGGAGCACAGCAGGGTCCGGGTGCGAGTTAGCAAGTGCTGTACGGCGCTGGGCTGACACCACAGGAAAAGGCTGGCCTGGGGGGGAGGGGAGAGCACCCCAGCTCAGCTGAGAGGGGCCCCCACCCACCCAGGGGGCACTGGGAGGGGTCGGGCTGGGACTGGGCCAGAAGGGATGGGACGGAGTTCCCTGGTGGGCCCAGAGCCAGGGGCTGGAATAGATTGGGGGGAGGGGGATGGTTGAAGGGGGGTAAAAAACATGGGTGTGTGGACGGATCCAATCAGACCTGGGAAGACAGGGAGGAGGGGAGGGGGTGAGGTTTCCTGGACGCCTCGGATTGGGCAGGAGAAACCAAGGGCCTGGGCCAGTTTCTGGGGTCCCCATGCAAACACAGCAGGACAGGGCCCTTGGCAGTGAACCCGGGGCACAGGTTCCCACTGCCCTGGCACCTGCTGGGGGCTGAACACAGAACCCTCCCTCTGCCCAGGATGGCCCAGCGGGGCACTGCTGCGACGTGCTCCCGATATGGTTTGCACTGAACCAGGCGCAGCACCCTCCTTCCGCCCTTCCCCCTAAAAGGCTCGGTGCCCTCAGGTCCCTGGCTGTAGGGACTGGGTGGGGTGGAGGAGGGATATCAGACCCTAGACTTTGGCAAGTGGGTCGGGCTGTTTCCCTGTGCTCGCAGGGGGTTGTCCTACCCTTCAAAAGGACACAAAAAGGCTCCTGAGAAGGGTCCCAGGTAGCTTGTGAAAGGTGAGCCTCTCTGTGGATTTCTAGGAATCCCAAGTTCAGGAGACTGTGTCAGGAAAGGCCCAATTAAAAGGGTTCCCTCTTCTCTTGAACTCAGGAGCTGACTCCCCATTTCAGGGGACTCCGTATATCTAGGAAGGCTCATTTTGGGTGTATCCCGTGTCCTTTAGGATCTCAGGAGTCTGGTGACGAAGAACAGCCTCAGTTTGGGGGGTTCAGAGGCCAGAGGGTCAAGACGTGGAGGGAGAATGCGTCCTGGAGAAACCCAGGAGCCGTTGAAACGCAACACCCCCAATTCCATAGGGACCCTGAATTTCACCCCCAACCAGGAGGGGAAGCGAATCCGGATCAGCAAGAAAGCAGGGATCATGACTGAAGTCGCTCTTGGCAAGAGAGGCGGGGCAGCCGGAGACTTGGGGAAACCCTGCACCCCTGCAACCCACCCCCTAGGGTGGAGGGTGGGGCAGAGACGTGCCCCCAACCTCCTGTTCCAGGGCCTCCTTGGCTTGCACCCACGCATCCCCCACCCGGGTCAGGGGTCCCTAGAAGGAGAGCCCCCCCCAATTTCAATCATTCCTGCCCTTGAACCCCAGTACCTTGCGCGCTGCAGCCCCAGCGCCATGGCTCGCTCGTCGCGGCTCAGGAGCCCTTGGAGGCCCCTAGCCCCCTCCCCTGCCCGGCGAGCCCCCTCCTCAGCTCCTCCCCCG